TTCATCATATATCTACCATAGGTGCATATGTTGAAATTTTTAAGAAATCTAAAAAAAATCAACACTTTAATATTAATTTAGAAGGAAAAAAAGAAAAATGATATAAGAATTGAAAAACTTATCGGCTTCAAGTTTCTCAATATCTTACAAAACTTCTTCAATGATAATGAGCATCAAATTTTGAAACGAATCTTGAGCACATATAAGAGTTTGTACAATGCTTGGAATTACGTAACTTTTAAATGCATCAAGAACTCTTTCTTCGATGCTAAATGCTGATTCGAAGGAACGATAGATATTAGAACCACTAACACATCATAAGCCATTTGTAAAAGGATGGAAAATCGAAGAGAATTAATTTTTCTACCACTCTAAAATATCAAATTCATCATCACCAATTTTGACGGATTCACGAAGATGCTTATCCAACTCCGATCCGTTATATCCATATTCATTTTCATTGAGTTTTTGAAATCATGAAATCCTTCTAATTGTCTTGTTTTTTTTTCTTTTTGTCATTTGTTACATCACTTACATTGAAAACTTTTGTAATCCATTATTTTGATCACTTTGGCTTGATTTGTTGATAAATTACAATATGAAGCATATAAGGCATATGAAGATTCTTTCACACCATTTGTTATCTTTTCTCCAAGCCAATCACCATGTAATTTGTTTAATGTAAATGCAATATAAACAAGTTTATGTGTTTGATTAAGTACGACCTCAATATAAATCAAATTAGTCAATTTTTTAATGTCTCCCCAATACTTATCAAACTTTTCTCTCATTTTACTAGCCATTGAGCAAGTATCATCATCGGTACTCTTTTGCCATTCTTTCAAATCAGCTCAAGCGTATAAATTTTATCAAAATAATTATTAGAAGTAATATATGAATGACCCGAAATAGATAAAGTAAGGTCATAAAATTTTTTCAATACCGTCACCATCTACCTACAAGTTCTTCAATCTCCAACACTAGGTGGCCCAAATATCCCATTACCAAGATCCATATTAAGTCCAATACTATATAAATTATCAATTTGCTCATATTTTTTAAAAGCTCTCTCAAACTTTTAAGTTGAATCTAATATCAAATAAGTTGAATTCCATCTAGTTGAAACGTCTAAACGTAATAAACTTTTGAAAACAATCTTTTTAATCTCTATACATTTCTTAAATTTTCTTAACCTAGCGGGAGATTTTTTAACATACCTCACGATTGCTCGAACACGAAGGATCAAATGATTTATATTTTTTAACCCATTAGAAATAACAAGATTCAAAATATGAGCCATACAACTCTTATGAATAAGATGCTATGACCTTAATTGTTAAAAATATCTCTCAAGTATCTAATTGTCATATCATTTGAACTTGCATTGTCTACATCAATAGTGAAGAACTTTTCAATTCCCCAATTCTATCAAATAATTTTTAATAACACCGCCCAAATCAACACCCTTATGACCATTAAACAAATAAAAATTCATAATCTTTTTATGTAACTTTCAATCATTGTCAATAAAATGAGTCGTTAAATACATATAATTAATTCTTTGAACAAACGTTCATATGTCCGTAGTGAGACTAACTCTTTGACAATTATTTTTCAAGAATTACTTAAATTTTAATTTCTCATACATATAAAGTCGATAGCAATCTCTTGAAATGGTAATTCATGATGAAAATTTAAACATAGATTGTGCAATTGACATAAACCATTTAAACCCCACATTCTCTACGAATTTGAAAAGAAGTTCATCCATAACAATCATGTAAGCTAAAGCATTTCTAATGCAATTTTGATCAAACTTTCATATACTAAGAGTGTTTTCTCTCACTTGAACCCTTTAATTTGATTGAGGGTTCAATTTTGTTTAGGTAGTGTCAAGCATATATGGGTGTTTTTTGTGAGATTTAAGTGCGAGTGGTACCATTTCTAATAGGATTAGCAGCAAGTACCTTATCACGGTAATTACGTATCCCCTCGATGTCTTTATTTTCATTTTTAAACTTCGTGAAATGGTCCATAAAACTGACCTTAGCCTCATTGCTTTTCTCTTCATCTTTGGGTTCAATTGTATGTTTAATGGAGAGCCAACAGTTGTATCCGATGTTGGTTCTAGATGGGTTGAAATCGTAACTTCAACATCGACATCCGAGGATCCCAACATCTACATAAATTTATGAATATATTTGATTAAAAATAATTATTAAATGCAAGCCTATAATTATTAAAACAGTGGGTAGTAACACTAGGTAGTGGCCGCATCGGCCAATGGCCACTACCGACCAGTGGCTACTGCCTAATGGGCGATAGCACAAACAAAATAACATTTGAAAGGTTGTCTTGGATTCAAACAAGTCATATGCATGGACTCTTTTACTTGGAAAACTTTAGTATTAGCATGATGAATACAATGACGCACACAATATCAAGGTGTAATAAAATTGGTTTCTTTTTCTTTCTTAACCTTACAACTCAACACTCAATCATCTCTTCACGAAATTTCATACATTGCAATATTATTAATTTTGAAAAAAAAATGTTGTCCATAAATTTCTTCTCACCGAGCCAACACGTATATGAAGCATTAGTTCCTTAGACGTGTGCATTAACTTAAGTCTGCCTTTCACATGTCATGCTACATTTCAACTCTTTGAGGCCATTTGCACATATAGATATTCAATCAATATTGCATACCTTATGCACCAATTGCAAAAAAAAGATTAAATCAAAAAGCATTGATCGGCATTGTTTCTATATTAATACATGGAGAAAATTGATTCCTAGTTAGAGAAAAGTTTCAACATAAATACGAATTATTCGAACACTATACCAAGGAACCTATGCTCACTCGATAATGTAGCCTTAAGAGCAATCATCAAATCAAGTGAACTTCGATGCTAAATGAAGAGAAAATGACTAAGAATCCACATATGCTAAAATCAACCACTTAACCACAATGATCATGAAAAATCTCAAAAAAATCTCAATTTCAATTGATAACAAGAAAATATCATGATTAACACCCATCCATGACCATGACGAGTTGGTTCCTTAAACAACCTTCAAAATAAAAGTATACAATGCCACAACTTTCCTTTCTAAATAATAACTCAAATCTTAATATATATCTAATAAAATTTTAAAACAACTTGGCAATCCATATAACCTTTTGGCACCGGCCAAAAGAAAGCCTTCCCATTGACGGTATGAGAAATTAAAGTATATACATTTCAAGAGATATTGGAAAAATTTGACTCAATACTCTTCTTAAATGAAGACAAGATGCTTAATTGAAGGTAACAAACTACAAAACTCCTATATTCCTATCTACCTTTTTAGTTACTAAATGAAAAACACAAGCCAAAATGATAATGCATTAACTACGAGTAAAACCATAAAAAAGCTTAACAAACTTTCAATTCGGATAATCACATTCATTGGACAATTATTTGGGTCGGTATGACTCACCATTAACCGGGATAGCGAGAAAAAATAGCCTATCCACTCGTCAACTATGAAGAGTGAAGATTGAAAACGCCCGAAGGGGGAGGTGGATGACGGTTGAGGGTCGTTTGAGGACTAAGGAGGAGGAGGAAGAAGGTAGATAAGTGAAGTGGAGATGTGGGCATGTGGTTGACGATTTCGGGATTGCGATTTGGAAGAGATGAGTTTTTCAATTTGGGGGGCACATTTCACATTTGCAATTGCACTCGGGCGGTGGGCACTGGCAATGAGGGAGGATCGAAGGAGAAAGAAAAGTGAAGACCGAAGATTGAAGAGGGGATGAGTGGATGATCGAATGATTGAAGATTGATTGCGATTTGTGATTTGGAATTGAGAATTTGGGAGGGTGGGGGTTAGGTTTAGGTTTTTGGAAACTTCAAATGGATTTGGCATGAGTATGAGGTAGAGTGACTCATCATCGTGTGTGAAGGAAAACTAAAAGGATGAGTTGACTCGACTTGGGCCTTGCCTTATTAGCTTATAGAATTTTTTTTAAAATATATTTTAAATAATTTTAGTTATTCAGCTTTTTTTTTAAAAAAACCGAACCCAAAATCGAAAATCGAGTATATTTCGATTCTATTTTCGATTCGTTTTTTCAATTTTTTTAAAAAACCACATTGAAATTGATATTTTGGTGGTATGGTTGAGGTGAACACCTTTATTCGCTTTAATTACTGCACAAATTCATCTGAAAATCACATGATCATTGACTATGGCCAATTACAGAATCCTGATCTCCAATGTCGATTTATTAAAATTTTATTCCTTAAAGTAATTTGGGTGGAAAAACAACGAAAAGCGAAGTACAAATAAAGAAGAAGAGCCGGATAAGGTGTGCTGGGCCCGTACTTCTGGGCTTGGATCTCTGTCTTACACTCCAGGCCAGGGTTCAGAGAAACAAGGAAGACATAAGTCCGAGTTTTTTCTTCTTTATTTATTTTGGCCTTGTCTTTTCTTTTTGGTTTTAGAATGAAACAAGAGAAATGGTTCATGCATTTAAAACTGGAAATTAAAACTAGTGAAAAATGGTACAAATGCATGAAGTATTTATGTTTTAACCTTTTTGAAATTAATCTTTCGAAAAATGGGCATCTATTATCTGAAATAATAAAAGAATATATTTCATAGGATGCGCTTCTATTTTTCAAAATTAAAACGAAAATTCTATATAAAATACCCGTCAAAATCAAGGTCATTGGACCAAAGCAAATGGCAGAAGCACTAGCCTAGGGACACATTGATCCAAAATTATGTACCCAAGTTCTGATAACCATTAATTGCACCAAAATAAATAATAATTAAACAGTAACCAGACAGCAAAACAACAAAGGGTTGCAAGCTACCACGTCTGCAATATATATATATATATATATATATATATAAAAAAACTACAATATCTACAAAATTCAAAGGGGAAAAGGAAAAGGAGATCACACGAGAGATTATTGAAGCTAGTTTCCCATTAACTTATGACAAGGCTAGGACTTCGACCGTTTAATCCCATAAGACATATAGTTAGCCACTGCCTTAGACCCCTCAGCTATGGCATGCTTTCCAAGCTCTCTAGGCAAAACCAGCTTCACTGCTCCCTGAACCTCCCCTGATGACAGGGTTGTTCGCTTCCTGTAGTTTGATAACTTTGCTGCCTCTTCAGCAATCCTCTCAAACATGTCATTCATCAAGCTGTTTACCACACTCATTGCCATTGATGATATCCCTAGATCTGGGTGCACTTGCTTCAGAACCTTCACCACATACCTCTTGTAACCAGGACCACTCTCTGTTGTTCCCCTTTTTCTCTTCCTTTTCCTTTCAATATCCCCTTTCCCTTCTTGTGTCTGATCCTTTCTTTGGGCTGTTTTTTTACCTTCTTTGTTCCTAACTTTCTTTGTTGATTTCCCTTCTTGATCTCCAGCACTAGAAGTGTCTTTTTTTGGTTCTTCTTCAGATGGCTCTTCTTGTGAAACTCTACTTCTTTGGTCCTCCTTCCTGTTCTCCTCTTCCCTTGATGGCTCCTCTTCCTGATCTTGAGGAACGGCGTCTGTAGCATCATCCTTGTTGGGCACTTCTTTTAAGTGCACTTCTTCTGAAACATCACTCGTTTGCTCCTCCTTTCTCTCCCCTTCTTTTGATGGCTCTTCTCGTTCTTGAGAATCCAGTGTAGCAACTTCCTTGTCCTGCTTTTCCACTGAAAATGCAGTTATTTGGTCTTCTTCCTCGTGTTCCTTCTGAGCAACAGGAATGGTCCTGAAAGTCTTCATCGCAGGAGTATCAATATCTTCAGTTTCTCCATCTTGTTCTTGATATTGTGTTGATTCTTGAGTGTCTCTTTCAATAAAAGCAACTTGCACAGTTTCTCTAAGAACTTTCCTTGTCGACCTCATCACAGTTCCTACTACCTTCTTTCCTCGACGCTTTGGAGCCATTTTCACTTCTTTTTTAAACCTCTTTCTCTCTCTTTTTGCTCCCAAAGTACCACTACGTTTTCCCTCTATAAACTCAATTAATTTGGACAAAAAGTGGACAGAGTAAATTAACTGTTATAGTTAGGGCTACATATAAGCGTGGTGAGAGTTACTAGGGTTGGACATGTGGAACGGACAGGTGTTAGTTGCCTTAGGATTGAAAGGCTACGTGGGGTAGAAATATAAAAGCATGCTCAGAGTTGGAGTGGGAGATTCGAGATTTATACCGTGCCTGAATTTTCCAGACTGATTTTTATCATTTCCATGCACCATCTATGATGTTCTAGACCTATCCAAAAAGGAAACCAAAAAAAAAAAAAAAACTTTCCCTCAGGATCCTGAATCAATCCTCTGTTTTTATCACTGATGTTATAATAATTTGAGTCAAAACTTTTCTTAAAGAACTCTCCCCCATTAAATAATGTCAAATTCTATAGCGAAAACAGTACTATAGCCGAAAAGAAATAAATATAAAAAGAAGGGAAAAAATTTAAAAATTATTTCTCGAATCTAGTTGAAAATATATCTTAACTTCTCAAAATAAAAATTTAATTCAATCATGAACTTTACAAGTCAGTGAACAAACATAAACTATCCGCAATTACAAAGCCTAACTTGGAGTGACGAGACCATAGGCACCGTTACATAATGGGCCAAACAGTACTATAGCTGACCAAGGGCACGCATGTGCTGAGAATGTCATGGCCGGCCCATAAATCTTGGTGAATTCAGTTTTAGGATTTCTAGGTTGCATAGACTACCTTTTCAAAAATTCTAGTCTTCTGTAGAATAATCTTAACGGTTGATGTGATGGTTAAAAACGTTTGTTTTATTTGTTGATTTTTTTAATTTAAATTTGAGATAAATATTTTGAAAAAATTATTAATTTTTTTAAATATATCTATTTGATGTCTTTAAGGGTGTCCGAAAAGGGATTATGTCTTAATTGACGTAAAAGCTATTTTTTTTTTATAAATATATCAAATTGATGTTTTTATGATTGTCTGAAAAGGGATTAAGTCTTAATTAATGTAAAAGCCAATCTAAAAACAGCTTGATCAATGGAAAAACAAAAATCTAGAAAAGAGCAAAAAAAGGGTGTAATTTTTTTCTTTTGAGATTTATATATTTTCTTAATTTCACCTAAAATATTTGATTTATTTTAATTAGATCTAATATCTTTCAGTTTTGTTCCACTCTATATAAATTCAATTTTATCCTTAAATTTTATGAAATATCTCAATATAACCAAACAAGTAATAATGAAAAATTGACATTAAAAAATAATCTAATAAAGAAATTTTAATCTCACCCATGAGCGGTTGTTTCTTCAAAGATCTTTTTCCAAAATCAATTCACTCAAATCAATTCGTATATTAGATTTCTTTTGTTTTCTAGTCGGATCATCCATAAATGGTTCATTTCTTTAATCTTTCTTTCTAAAATCAAATCACCCTAAATAGTTTATATATATATATTTTTTTTTAATATTAGGATCACACATGAGCAATTCGTTTCTTTGATTTTGCTTTTCAAAATCAAATCACCCAAAGTGGTTCGTATATTTAATTTCTTTTGTTTTTTGGTCGGATCAACAATTAGCAATTTATTTTTTCAAACCACTCAAAGTTGTTCATATATTTGATTTTTTCTTACTTACTAAAATCAAATCACCCAAAAACGATTTGTACATTTGATTTTTTTTTCCCATCAAATCACTCAAAACAATTTGTATATCTAATTTGTTTTTTCTTATCAAATCTTCCATGAGTAGTTTGTTTTTCTTATCTTTATCATAAATGATCGTTTTCTTGTCTCAACATAGGGATGGCCTCCAAAACAACTATACCAACAAGAGGTAGCTAATATTTATCCTTCCTGCCTTTTCAAAATCCTCGAACTCTTCATTACAATCTTATTAAATAAAATTAAAGAAAAAAAGTAATTTTTCAATGATTTTGTATTGTAAGCATTGTAAAAAAAGAAAAATGGTCATAATCTGTTTTTGACCCTATATTTTATATTTTTTAAAAAATAAAAAAAAACCTTAGAAAAATACATGTTGTGTATTGCGTAGTTTCTATGATTTTTTTTATATAATTTTATAAATTTTTATGATTTTAAAAAATGATGATATTTTTTCTTAATTTTTGAGAGCAATCGAAAAGAAAGGGGAAAAGAAAAAAAATTGCAAAAGACAAAAAATAAAAAATAAAAAAAGACTAGAAAAAAAAGGTGCGTTTTGCACCGTTTCAAATGAAAAGAAAAAAAGCGCATGGTGAGTGGATATTGCACTATTAACCCTTCTCTTATCCTTTCATCTCCTCTCTCTTCCATTTTTCAACATGCTTCTTTGTCTTCAACGCAGGAAACAACCATTACACCTTTCACCACACCCAGCCAAAACTCGTCCTTACACTCTGTACCTATCGTCCTGCAGCCTACCATCACAGGCCACAAAAAAAACATGCCCCTCATGTTGGTAAAACACCTACAAAAATCCAAGTCTTTTTTTTCTTAGCTGCTACCAAAAAAAAAAAAAAAAAAAATTGCAAGGGGTTGAATGATCAAGATTAGCTCTCCAAAAATAAGAGTCAAGATTCATCATAGAGAGGAGGGTCCCAAGTCCTTCTCAAGCGTTTATAAAAGAGCGTAACAGTCAACAAAAGAAGCTCGAAAAAGACGAAGAAGAGTCGAAAATAGTAAAAAAGAGAAATTTAGGCAGTTTTAAGCAAGTTTATGTCTTGGTTCTGAACAGAAAAACATACACAAGCATATACTAAACTCAAACCCACAATAAAGAGGGGGAAAAAAGAGCAAAGAATCAAAGCATTTTGGTCGAAATTCCCCTACCCAAGCAAGGTATTGCAACCTTGTTTTGTGTTGATTTTTGACTTAGTTCATTCATACTTGTTGCTATATGATATTTAAAAAATTTTCAAAAATTTTATAACTATAATGGAAAAAGAATTAAGAAAAAGATTTTGGAGTCACCATCTAGTAAGTAAAAATATAAAAAAAGTATTAGATTCAGACATTTGAGTTAAAAAGTTGGTTATGTCTTTGGAAAGATAATAATTCTTCAAAGACACTATTTTCGAAAAAATGTACCATATTTAGTTTAATCTTAAAAACATTTCATAAAAATTTTATTTGCCGAATGATTTCTTAAGTTTATTTTCCAATTCTATTTATCGTTCAAATAATTTTTTTTTGTTTTTGGCATTGTATTAAATTAACGTCAAGTCTCGTAGTTTTGGAGTTACATCAATTTAGCATTGAATCCAATTATGTATTGACATGACCGGCATATCGAGAAACAACTTAATTAACTCAATATGTTTAAACTGATTTTCTATTTATCCTATCTAATTTTCTCTCTCTCTCTCTCTCTTTTTAATATGGGTTGAGACCAACATGAGGCTCTATTTAAATAAGCGACTCGTTAGGTTGACTTAAATTTTTTTAATTTTCATAAGAATACATATTTTCTTTTGTTAATAAGATGAATTTGATGAAGAATCATCGTAAGTCTCTAGAATCTAGGAGACTTGATGGTCTCTCATCTTGCTAAATGAACAATAAACATATTATACAATAATTGTAATAATAGCAAAATTAAAAACAATTATAGATAAATAGCAAATAAACTTCAAAAATTATGTACAAACCCTACAAATTTCAAATTAAAATATTAAAAGGTATTGGAATTAAAAATCAACTACTGAAATAAAGCGCACTAATAATTAAGATAAATGACGTAACAATAATAAATATAAAATAAATAGTAAATGAACTTATAAAATGATGAAACTTAAAACACAAGTCATGGACAAACACGTCTACAAACCCCAAGAGTTTACATTAAAATATTAATAATTAGGAGAATTAAAAATCAACTACTAAAATAAATCACATTAATAATTAAGATAAATTACAAAACAATAATAAATATTAAATAAATAGTAAACGAACTCTTAAAATTATGAAGCTTAACACACAAAATATGAAAAAACATATGTACAAAACTTGTTTAAGATTAAAATAACAAAAATTACTTGAATTAAAAATCAGCTATTGAAATAAACACGTTAATAATTAAGATAAATGATAGAATAATAATAAATATTAAATAACTAGTAAATAAATTCATAAAATTATGAAACTTAACAAAAAGGCTATGAACAAACACATAAGTATACGCTAAAAATTTTAGATTAAAAAACACTTGATCAAATAATTAAGTTCCACAAAGAATCTACCTAATAATTAAAAATGAGGCTGAATAATAATTAAATACCAAATAAGTGGTAAATGAACTCTTAAAATTATGAAATTTAGAATACATGCTAAGGACCACTACATGAACAAATCATAAAATTTTAGATTATAATATAAGTAAATACTAAACTAAATAATTAAACTTTTGAACACACTCACATTAATAATTAAAATAATGGTAAAACAATAAAGAAATTTCCAAATCATAGTAAATAGACTCTTAAAATTACATTATTTAAAAATCATTCTAAGGACAAACATATGAAAATATATTAAAAATTTTAGATTAAAATAAATTTAAAAGTCTGGACTTAATAATTAAATTTCAAAACCTCCTCACATTAAACATTAAAATATTAGTAGAATAAATAAATAATTTATAAAATAATAGTAAATGGACTCTAAAAATTGTCAAATTTAACTCCTAGGCTAAGGACAAATACGTGAGCAAAATTTTAGATGAAAATAAAATAAAAACTGGACCAAATAATTAAATTTTGAAAAAACTCGCACAAAATTTTGGCTTAGGGTTTAAAGGATGGTTTAGAAGTTTTGTTTGGCTTAGATCGTGATGGCCATAAATGAAAAAAGGAAGGTGCTTTTGGTGGTTGACGATGGTGGTTTTGTGAGAGAGATGAGTGGAGAGAGTTTTTTTTTTTTTTTTTTGTTTTGTTCTCTAT